AAAAGAAATTCGTAAAGCATGCATTGAATGAAATTCAGTCCAGTGGCATATTTTTAAAGAACGTATTTTGAAAACCATGCCACATTTAAAGTAACTGAATCAAAGCGTTTTGATGCATTTGAGAGAATCTAGCTTTAAATATATCTTTGATTTCATATCTATAGCTCTGTGTGTGTAAATGTACTAAATTAATTCCCAGGCATTGCAAACCATTCCTTTCAGTTGTAATATATCCGAATAATCTGATCTTTATCTTTTACAGATGAAAGTCCAAAAGCTGAAAAGCCCAAAGTAGATGAAGAGGGTGATGAAAATCAAGACGATAAAGACTATCATAGGAGCGACCCTCAGATTGCTATTTGCCTTGATTGTTTACGCAACAATGGGCAGTCAGGGGATAACATAGTAAAAGTGAGTTGTTGGAAAGAATCTTTGCTGCTTATTATTTCCTGGCAATTTAAGATAAACTTCCATGGGAGAGAACTTTGCTGTGTTCATAACCTTTAACTCTCTTCATTGTTGCCATAACAAAATCTTCTCTTGGTTGAAGCATTATATTCATAGTTAGCTGAATATAAAATTACTCATTTGTGATTAACCTTTTCAATAAGCTACAGAATTAGCACATATCGTGGTAAAACAGGATAAGAATTGAAATGACAAATAGAAGTGTACGCCATAGTATTACAATACATTACACCATCTTCTGTTGTGATTTGTCCACTTACAGGAACAGGCTCAAATGTCTTCCCATCACTTTCACCAAAAAAAGTATTTAGTATTTTTAAAACAAGGATTGCTTCAGAACTGAGAGCCTGATCTCCTGAGCTATAAACCTGATTTTGACACTAACTTGTTCTGTGACCCTGGGCAGGTCACTTTCTCTATTTGAAAAATGAAAATGAGGCTTTCTTACCAGTTTTACAATACTTGGAGGTATTTACTTTCTCTCATGTCTGAGCCCTTCCTAAGCGGAATAAGTTAATGAATCCTTGCAGCCTTTATTGTCAAATTGACAAACTGCTGCAGAGAGAAAATCATAAAAGGGGAAAAACAAAACACCTAGTTAAATATTACAGAATGCTTTACTCTATAGCTGTGTGTTTTGAACAATCATGCTAAATATTTGAAACTCTTAGGGTATGTCTACACTAGCCCCCTAGTTCGAACTAGGGAGGCTAATGTAGGCATTCGAAGTTGCAAATGAAGCCCGGGATTTAAATATCCCGGGCTTTATTTGCATCTTCCCATCCGGGCGCCATTTTTAAATCCCCTTAGTCCGAACTAACTGCCCGCAGCTACATGCGGCAGTCAAACTTTAACTCGAACTAAGTCCTTAGTTCGAGTTAACTGTTACACCTCATTCCACGAACTAAGGACTTAGTTCGAGTTAACGTTTGACTGCCACGTGTAGCCACGGGCAATTAGTTCGGACTAAGGGGATTTAAAAATGGCGCCCAGAAGGGAAGATGCAAATAAAGCCCGGGATATTTAAATCCTGGGCTTCATTTGCAACTTCGAATGCCTACATTAGCCTCCCTAGTTCGAACTAGCGGGCTAGTGTAGACATACCCTTATACAGTAGAAAAATCTTTCTTCTAACCCAGAATTAATAAAACTGTTTGTCCATGTCCCTCTCTCAGCTTTATATGTCACATGTGTCAAGAAATGTCTATCTCTTTCAAGATAGGCCTCTGTGTTTTGCAGCTTGGATGAAAAGTATTAAACACATACTTGCTAGGGATGTGAAAGTATAACCATGTATATGGTTAACCTTCATGCTTACTTGCAAGCCATGGGCTAACCTTCATAGTTATATGCAAACTTCCAGTATGCATGGGGAGCCAGCTTAAAAGTCGACTCCCCGCATGCACTGTCTCCGGGGGAGCCATATGCTCCCCACATGCTGCTGCCTCTGTGCTAGAGTCTGCCATAACAGGTCACCTCTCAACATTGGAACCTCAGAGTTTTCACTGGATTATTTGAGAGGTTTTAATTTTCAACTCTTATGAGCCAAAAAAGTTTCAAGAAGTGTTCTATCTGTTCAGCAATCATGTGACTGTTTCTCTTTCATGTTATTCATTTCTGTATTTTTTTTAAACTTACAAATACTGATATACTTGAAGAACATGCTTTGCCAATTTTGTGGATTCATGTAATAGAAAGTTAAAACCAATGTAATAGAGGGTCAGTGGGGGATAGAAGCCTGATCAGAGAGTGTGTCTATACAGCACTCTAAACTTGAAATAAGATACGCAATTTGTGTAGCGTGAATTGCATATCTTATTTCAAGTCTATTTTGAAGTAGCTTATTTTGAAATTTGGTACATCTACACAGTGCCAGATTTTTAAATAATGTTCTATTTCAAGACATCCCTTAACTCTCATGGAACAAGGGCTACCGGGATGCCAAAATGGCACACCCATTATTGCGAAAAATATTTTGAAAAACAGGCGGCTTGTGTGGATGCGGGATAACTATTTCTGGATACTGGAATCCGGGAAAAAAAAATCAGACATTGAAAATATACTTCACTTAGGAAGAGTGTTTCCAGTTTGCATTATAGAAAAACCTCTCATATTCAAATGAGCTGATGGCAGCCAAATCAAGAAGAAATGCCAGGGCTGAAAAAAATCAGATGGCTACCAACGTGGACATTTTGGAGATGGTGGGTTAAGGCTATAAGAAATTATCGGATGACCAGGCTTCTAGCAGTAAAGAATGAAATCACTGATTTGGAAGATTGATTCACTGTTATTGAGTCACTGTAGACACATGCCTACGAAACATTAGAGAGACAGACAGAGCTGCAGAGGCATATACATGACATTGATGGATCAGAAAATAGAGTGAGAAGGAACAACAAGAGAATTAGGGAACTCCCTTAAAACCCAGAAGGAGAAACCCAGCTGTCTGTAACACTTTTAATTGTACAATTGTTAAATCTGAGCTCTCTGGAAGGAGTGGAGAGAGTATGCAAGGGGTGTTTTCCCCCCTCTGGTATGAATAATAATAGTAGATACAATGATATATTTGTGACAATTCACCATTATCAGCAGAAAGACAGAGCTCATTCAAAGCTTATACTCAAGGCCAAAAGTTGTTTTTCAGTGAGCAGTTTTCCTGAACTTGAAAGAATGAAAAGAGACCCAGGGGAAATCACAGCAATGCTCAGAAGGGCAAATATCTACCACAGATGTGGTTTCCAATTTGAATTCTCATTCATCTTCCAAAATTGGTATTATACAGCAAGAGACTTTAAATAAATAAATACATTCTCTAGTCACTTGAACTAGAACTCTGGAGCTCAGTTATGCCAGAGATAGAAACCAAGAATAAAATACTGGGAAAATCCTGACAGATGGTGAAACTTGAGAAAGGAGGATAGGAAAAGAAAAGACAAGTCCTCTAGATAATGTACTGTCAGTGATAGAAATGAACCTGAAGAGGAATAAGATAAAGATTACCCATAAGGGACTTCCTGATGTCATCAAGAAAGAACAGTTGTCAAGTAACTATGTTAATGTTAGAAAGGAAGTAGTGTGGTGTTGCTTTAAGGGGATGATCATAATTTTGTAATAGTTGCATTTTAGAAAATAAAGGACAGTAGTGGGTAATGAGTATCCTAGGGCTGGAGGATATTGTCAATAGAAACTTAATGGGGAGGATCCTATAGGTGGAGAATTTGGCATTTTTGAATTACAAGAGAAGCAGTCCAAGTATTCATGGACAGAGTACAAAGGTTAAGGGTTCAGCAAAACACTCATACATTAAAGACCAGATCAGCTTGTTGAAGGGCTTGGTGCCTCCCAATTAAAAGCAAAAAATAAAAAAAATTTAAAATTGTGCAGCACTTTAGGACTGAAAAATTATACCTGGAGGAGACTTCTATTCCATACTGATTTTTTCAGGGGAGAGATTTGATAAAAAGTATTCTCTTGTCCTAATAACTCAGTCTTGGATTGTAGGAAAGAACTGCACCCATGTGGAAAAGACTATACATTTTATTCACACTCACCCCAGACTAGAATGATTGTTTCTCTCTAAATCCTTAATAATGCAGACAGAATCTGCACAAATTGGCACCATTACACAGTCAAATCATGCACCAAAGAAAGTATTTGATAGGTGGGATAAGTCCTAGAGATACATTTTTTGGGGGAAATGAATAGCTTGTCTCTCCAAAACCAAGACAGAGTTGAAGCAGTTAAAGAGAACATTGTTCAGTACTTTCCGATTAATAAAAGGGTTATTTTCTGGGAGGCAGATAAAGCTGTATTTAGGGACCATTTGGATAAGCAGAATAGAAGGAAGGGGAAGGCAGGAAAGGAGGGAAGGAGAGCTCAAGAAGCAATAGAAGTAGAGTGGGAGATAAAAAGGTTAGGTTACAAGACGGTCATGAAGACAGGTTAAAAAGAATAAGAGCAATTAACTAATATAAAGGGGAACTGAATATATTGATGACAGATGCCACTGAATGCCTGTAGGTATCCAAAGCAGATGTTTTATGAAAAACTAAATAAACGTGATAATATTTTGACTGAAAAGCTTAAAGGGGATTCAACAGCAACATATTATTTCACTAAGTAAAATAGTCAGCAAAAAATAATTATACACCCTATTGAAATATATCAGATAATCCAAGCTTTGAAGTTGTTCAGAAATATCAGTAAATAGCAAGCTTGCCAAAGATAAATTTGATGAAGCATCTTTAGATAAAGAAATAACATAAGAAGAAATCTTAGAGGCAATAGTAAGCATGAGCAGTGGTAAAATTCCAGGAGCTAGTGGTGGTCTAGCTTAATTTTACAAAGTATTTAGGAGGTCTTAGTGGGTCTCAGTTAAAACAAATGATTTACCACAAATATCTTTCTTTTTACAAAATCTTTCTGTGATTATCCCAAATAAAACCCTTGCAAGAACACAAAGGATATTATTAGAATTTATAAGGAACAAGTAAAGCTCAAAAGTGAATTCTTTATCTTGACCTATTGAACAGTATAGGCTAGTTTTTCCAAATATGTATGGTTCTATCAAATTAGGCCGTGCAAAGAAGTAGCATATTGGGGCTACCCTAACCCAGCCAAACACTGGGGCTCTATTAAATAATGAATTGTGGCAATGTAAATGTCACCAGGCTTCCTTGGATTAATAAAAATCCTTTCTAGAAATGTATACACATTCTTTGGCAAAAACTGTTGCGTGCTTTTAGGGTAGAACTAGAGATAAGATAATTACCAAAGGCGCTCAGTAGAAGCAACGTGTCAGAGGTGTTGTGGTGTCGCTTATAAAGTACAGTAGTAGTATCCTATTAAATAGGGAGATCTAATGACTGAATTCCTGTATAATGTCTTTTAAATCAGCTCATTCTTGTAATATTTTGTCTCTGATATTGATATAGTAAAGATTTGTAACGTTACTAATATTTCATAAGTAATAATACAAGAAAAATTCAAAGAATACTGTACAGTAAAGTTAGTTAATAGAAAAAATACCCAACTCTAAGAAATATTTATTAACTGAAAGTTGCTTACATACTATTTAAGTTAGAGTGTTTTGTTTCAAAATATCTAACATCCCGTCTCTGATCTGTTCATTTAGGGTTTAATGAAGAAATTCATCCGCTGTTCTACACGAGTGACTGTAGGAACCATCAAGAAGTTTCTCAGCTTGAAATTAAAGCTTCCAAGTTCTTACGAGGTAAATTCCCCCGTACATATACACACTCGCCTAACTGCAAAATGTTGAATTTAAGATTCAGCTAAACAAAGGATTTTTAAAATAATTGTATCAATGGGTACACTGCAGTATTCAGTCTCAGATAAAAGGTTTCCTAAACCTGGAAATGAGTCATACTCACTAAAGGGCACTTGGATTGGGGCACACCCAGCTTCAGTTACTGTTAGGGAACTTCCATATAAATTTTGCTTGTTGCTCAGCTTTAGAGTGACCATCACTTTACTGATAAAACAAAGTTAAGATTCTGTCAATAAAAGTCAGGGACTAGTTACAGGCCTCCATGAATTTTTGTTTGTTGCCTGCGACCTGTCCCTGACTTTCACTAAAAATATGCTGTGGTGGGGGGGAACAAATAGAGAGCTGTTGGGGGCTTGCAGTTGCTTCAGTGCCTGGCACTGCTCTTGTGATAGTGACTGACCCAGCCCCAGCCAATGCTCTAGCAGTCCTGGGGCTAACCACTGGCTAGCCCTGCCACAGGGAATAACCAACCCCAATCAGGAACTTCAGCAGCCTAAGGATGACAACTGCTCCAGCCCTGCCCAAGAAGAAGTAACAGAGTTCATGGAAGATCATGGAATCCGTGACTTCTGTAACAGAATCGTATAATTATCTTTTCAGGTGTTTGATATACATGTACATGTTTTCTATTCTTGCTTTCTCTTATCTGTTTAACAACACAAGTGAGCCCTCTATCTATAACTGCTGGGAGAAAAGTAGTAGTGACTAGACACCACCAAAACATTCTGCAGTTTCATTAGAGATCCATCCTTTTTCACTGTGCAATGTGAAAAGCAGTCTAGTTCCTAGAGTCTAGGTCCTCCAATAGCCTCCATTACTATAATATCTAAACACCTCATGATCTTTAATATATTTTTCCTCACAGTACTCCTGTGAGATGGGAAAATAATCACTGGCCAGTGGAGCAACTCTTCTGCTAACCAACAAAATCTAAATTTCTAAAATTCTCACTGGAGATAAATCCTAAGAGACAATAAACATGGGTGCCTATGATGCCATTTTGGTAAAAATGCTTCTCATGATGGAATCTCACTTCATCACATAACCACATTTTTGGGTTATTCTTAAATTTTTTAACAAGCAGGAGAGTATGATAGTCGTATGTGGATCCTTAGGACTGAAAGAGTATTGCAACATTCAGAGTATTCTCCAGGGCGCACTGTATTGTACAGCCGCCTTCTTTGCTCAGGTAACTGTATGGGAATAATAGAATCAATATTTTAGGGGGAATTTATCTGCATTGACATTTATCAACATGTTATTTAAGTCAATATATAGTTCGGACACTAACAGTCTCTGATGGGATTATTAAAAAGTTAAGAGATTCACTTATGATTTCATTTAAAAGTAACAATGTGATATCGGCTGCACTCTTGTAATATTTTTTAAGCTGGATGTACTATGCAATGGTGAAATCATGGGGAAGGATCATACTATGGAATTCATCTATATGACAAGATGGAGACTAAGAGGTGAAAATGTGAGTACTTTTATAATTTTTACATGTAATTATGTTTGCCTTTCAATAGAAAGTGTTCCGTGATCTTTACAAAATCTCACACACACACTAGATTATTTATATTAAAACATTCTAAGATTAGTTATTGAAATACTACAACTGGCATGCTATACAGATATTGAAATTCAGAATTAGCAGGAATACAAAGTTTCAATATAAATTCTAATTTTGAATTCTTAGGTGAAATATCTGAAACCACAAACACTTAATCATCCTGAGAATTTCAGCTAAAATAGTATAATCCCTTACCTTGCAAAAGTCTAGGAATTTGGGTCTAATCAATCTGTATTCAGAATGCTCTCTTTATAACATGTTGGGACATTGAGAAATCATTTGAGTCATCTAATGATTTTGACAGTACTTAATTCTGTTAACATAATGTCCACAACGGAGAGGACTGCTAATTATTTCACCCACATATATAGTTTAGAAAACAATAGCTATCTTGCTAAAGCACATTTTTTAGTGATCAGATTGAGTTAATAACCCTTAGATTTGCTTTGGACCATTAACTGTTCCTATTTGGTCACTTGTTAAAATCATCTTGTTGTCTCTTGCATTTATTTTATCTGTCTTTTATATATTCATTCATGCATGTGTGGTTATATATTATACTTTATCTTGCAAAGCTTTGCTTTTTGTGCAGAGTGGTTGCATTTCAGTGCAAGAGGAAGTTGTACATGGATTCAGTAAAGGTTAAGTACCAGTGTAATTTCACATAGTAAGCTGTAGTAAATTCAAGACCCCCATCACTCTGTTTTTCCATTTTATAAGTACTCACTATGGCTGTGTCCAGACTCAGAGGTTTTTCCGAAAAAAGTAGCCTTTTTTCGAAAAAACTTCACCTGCGTCTAGACTGCAGCTGCGTTCTTTCGAAATTAAATCGAAAGAACGCGGCTTTTCTTTCGACGGCAGTAAACCTTATTTCATGAGGAAGAACGCCTTTTTTCGAAAGTGCTCTTTCGGAAAAAGGCCTTCTTGAATGCCAACAGGGCTTTTTAGAAAGTGAGCATCCAGACTCACTCGCTGCAGTACTGCTTGCAGTCTAGACGCTCTTTTTCGAAAGAGGCTTTTTTGAAAGATACTTTCGAAAAAGCCTCTTTCGAAGGAGGCTTGCAGTCTAGACATAGCCTATGGCATTGGCAGTGGAGACAGGAATAAGCACAATGTTGATCAAACAACTCACAAACACCTTAACAATTTTACCTTAAAACCTAGAAAGGCCTTTTTAAAAAAAAATAATTTGTGCATAGCAAATATTGACTGGATTTGGCAGAATATTGTCCTGGGATTAAACTGGAACGAGGGTTAAGGGATGCCGAAATAGCGTGCCCATTATTTTGAAAAATATTTCTAAATAATGGGTGGCTTGTTAAGACGCGGGGTATCTATTTTGGGATACCTCCAATATCCCGAAATAGCCACTCAGTGTAGACATACCCTAAGGAAATATTGAGGAGAAATGAGGCAATAATAATAGAATGCATTCATGATAGCTGAAATTACTGGCTCCTGTCAATGGATTCTTGAGAATAGTATTGGTTTGGGGGCAATAATTATACTATTTGGTCAAATGCCCATATTTGCTCCATCTTAAATTTTTCCAGAAAATGAAAAGAAAAATGTTTTCTTAGGTATATATGATGTTACTGAAAACTCAGTGAAATTTTATGGAATGTTTATAGGCATATACAGAATCTCCATTCACCTTTTTAATTGGATGTAAAATAATCTTAATAGCTCATGATTAAAAACAAAAACCAATAGAAATTATAAAATATATAATACTGTCATCTTTGAAGTAGCTTAAGTCTCTTCATGGTATTGTTCCTGCCTGGAAGAAATATTTCAAAATTTTATATTTTTGGTAACAAACTCTCCAATTATTACCCTGTTTGGAAAGTTATTTTGGGGGGCTGGAATTATCAAGAACCTTATAGTAAGGCAGCCCCCATGATATCTACCCTTCTTTGGTTGTCTAGCCCTGATCTGATTAAGTTTGTTTTAGGCCAAAGTGTAGTACAAAAGCATTACTGGTTCTTATTTGATAATCTCTTCCTCTGATGGATGAAGATCAGGTAAATCCATTATCTGTGACTATGATGTTGTTTATTGTGAGCTTTTATTGATGTACCTGTGGACACTAGGAGAGCTTTATATAGTCTAAAACACAGAGATTATTTATTCCTTGGAAAACGCTTCCTACTTTAAAAGTAATTAATTTTAATTCTCTCATTTGAAACAAAAAATAATTAAATGATTGATAAATGTATGTGTCCAGTTGTGGATGCCTCTTATCTGATCAGAAAATCATCTTCCCTCGCAGTTTCGGTGTCAGAACTGCTCATCTTCGCAAGTCTGCTCACAGGATGGCACTTTTTATCAGGTAAGAGGCACTCACGACTGTACATATTACAGGACCTGTAAACATTTTAATTGAAACTCATTGTGGAGATTTTATAAATCTATGTTCTGCTAGCTAAAACTTGACATATAAGGTCTAAATCTTCTGTGTATTCATTCAGTAAAGCTTGTATTGATTGAATGAAGGAATGAATGAATTATATTTAGGCATTATAAGGTTTATGATTTGTAAAATAAGGGCTCTTTATCATTATGCTTTAGTGCATAAAATGATCAGCAGGCTGCTAAAAGATGTCTCCCACTCTTCCCTTTCTCCTCTTATCTTCCCTTATTATTATGTGTAGTACTGCACGGTTAGGAACATAATGGAAGTTTATACCTCTATAAAGTATCCAAAATTGGCTACTGCCAAAGGATCTGGGGACACATGGACCATTGGTCTGTTTCATTATGACAAATGTTAGATTTTTATTGTTGTGTTCCTTTTTACTGCTTTAAAATTTGGAGATGGGCTGAAAACCTCCAAATCTAAACATCTAGAACATTGGAATTGAAATCTGATCAAAACTTTCTCAATTTTTCAGAAAGTTTACAGGGAGTGTTATGATTTGGCTTATTTTAAAGAAGTTTGCAAATTTGGATCTGGACCTGGTTCCTGTGTTTAATTTGAACCCATCACTATTAAAAATGGTTGTTTTTTAAGAATGACCCCAAAATGGACTAATATTATTTTTTTACACTGAAAAGCAAAATTAATGATAGAGGGTCAAATTCTAATAAAAACTACAATTGGCAATTGTGCTGACTCAGTTTAGTAACTTGGGTATAAGGAAGGGCAAAATTCAGTCCAAAGTGAGAAGGTCTTATAGATAAACATTTCTGTTCGCACATCATAATTTGTATTTGCAGTTAGCTTAACATTTTTAGTAGTATGCAGACTTTGTGCACAAGAGTTCTGAGCACAGTATAAACTCACACTAGGTTTTAGGAGTGTAATTATCCTCATTACTAGTGTGTAATTCCCATTAGTGCTAGTAGAAGTTAGGTGTGTTTAGAAGCAAATGCGTAGTTCAGGAGCATTAGTTTGAAGTGCAAAAGATTTTCAGTAATTCCACACAACTTAAAGTCTGTATCTCAACTGAGGTTGATTCTGCTAGAGGAGTCAGAGGCTATTTGAACCCCATGGTCCAGGTGATATAATAAACCATTCTTGATTTTGTGTTAGAGAAGCTCCAATACTGTAGTAAAGTTAGTTGGGGAAATATCAAACTTAGACTGAAAAAATATACATTTTATAAATAGAATTTTCAGCACCAAGTAACCAGAAGTTCCATGATCCTTCCATGATCACAGTGATCCTCAGTTTATGTATCTAAATGGATGGGTTGCATTTTTGTGACTGCAAGATTGAGAGCTATTGAAAATGTAACTCTGAATGAATATGAAGATAATTAATTTCAGGAGATTTCACTCCTCCTTTCTCATGGAATCAAGTGACTCTGGCTGACTTGACTTTTAAAAGAGTTGAGTAAATGTGATTTTCATTGGGTAATACTGGTTATAGTGGGAGCTGTTGTCTGTACTTCTGAAATATCAGGTCACATATTGCATCTTAGAATTTAGTTAACCAGTGTGAGATCTTATGAATGTTTTTGTCAAATCTCACAGCACAGGATTAAAGACACTATCTATAGGATCACACAAATGTTGTTGCAGTATGTCACACACATAATTTAAGTTACATAGTATATGCACTGTGTGTGGATGATATAATCTGACTCCTGAGATCACCATGATAATATAATAGATCATTCTTGATTTTGTGTTAGAGAAGTTCCAATGCCTTAGTAAAGTTAGTGGGGGAAATATCAGACTTAGACTGAAAAGATATCCTTTTCCTTATATTTTTGAAAACTGGTTGTGAATGTAAATTTTATTGAAATGTATAAAACCACATTAATCTGTTATTAACCCTAGAGATAAGTTCTTACTTTCCTTACAGTGTGGTATAACTGTATTTTCTTTGTATTTCATATAAACCATTTCTTCATATTATCCTTGTTTGTCTTTTTTTGTTTGTCTATTTGTTCGTTGTCTTCTTTTTTAAATTTTTGTTTCTAGTCTTACCCTATGGTACTGCAGTATCGACCCAGAATTGACTTTGGTTAGACCAAAGGGCCAGATCCCACTGAGATGAATCCTGCACTATTTGTTTACCCATCGACAGATTGCACAATGAATGGATGTGCCTGGATTAAGAGGACACAACCAGATTTTCAGCATGCAAATAAGGACATTGTATTTCTTAAAGTTGTCAGTTGCATCTTTGTTGTTTCTATTAGAGCAAGCCAAGTGCCATTCTGCTACTGAAATGTGCATAAGATATTTGTAGTATCTTAAAAATGTGCTGCAAGTCATAGCCAAAATCATGACATATATAGTAAAGATTCAGAAACTACAGAATATTTTGCCTGCCTGTTAGAAAAGTTTTCTATTCTAATGTTGATTACACTAGCAAAATGGCAGAATGCTCATTCCATGTGGTAGTGCAATTGTCACATATTTACTGTTTTACTGATTATTGTTGTATAAATGATAGAGAACTGTACAAAAGTTAAGAATTATACCTTGAAAATATTTTGTATAGAAAATATATTTAGAACAGTGGTAATTTTGCAACTACATTGTTACGTTTTTCATGAGTCTGGGTATATCTCACTCATCAGCGTATAGCAATCATTTTGCAGTGAATGAAGATTATCCTTGCAACAATATTAGAACACAGTCATTAAACTGAGCCATTTTATTTTATCTAAATAGATTATTTTAGTATCACCTGCCCTAATGAGTGAAAAATTTTATGGCTTGCCTGAAGGTTGGAATTTGATATTCAGTTATTTAGGATTATGGTAGCTGGTCAAATTACATTATTTTAATAATGTCAGCATAAAAGTGAGGTTAAAATCATATAAATGTTTAATAAAAAGCAGAAAATCCTGTTTAAAATTACTCCACGTGGCAAAAATTTATGCATCTTTTGTCACTGTTGTCATTCACATTAAGGATTTCATTTTAAGATTGGGTTTACTTGTGTTCAAGTTTGGCATATAATAGAGTAAAATAATGCAAACTACTGTAATAAATTTCTAAATACATAGCTTTTATGGCATTAAATTTCTGTTTATCTGAGGTTCAGTAGCTATTGCAGATTAATTAGTTAATGTCACATCATAAAGCTAGTTCCATAAAACTAGAGGTAATGCAATATAGTAGATAAGCAGTCTGATGGAAATAATTCAGCCTGTACAAAACATGTTTTTCTCAGACCTAAGAGTGGTGGGGGAAAATGTGATTTTTGCCTTAGGTATGACAAATATAATGGTTTTAGTGCAGAAAATTGTATTAAGGTTTCTGGTAACCTTAATACAGGAAGCATTGTGTTTCAACTGTTTTCTGTACTCTTCCATTGTCTTTGCTCAGTTTGCAAGTCAGAGTAGGTTTTTACTTCAAACTGTGCGGAAATAATTACTGTTCAATACTTGGTATAATTTCTATTTAATGCACATCTACCAGCATTCCTATTTATTTTTATATGACTATGTATACAACAGAAACAGTTGACTTTCAGAAGCTACTATAGAATCCAACAAAGAAAAACTAAATGTAAACCATGAGATCTAAGCATAAAAGATGGATTATGGGAAATAGCTCCAATAGAAGTTTAGTGTCAGTACAATTTATAAGTGTAGGGCATGCAAACAAGCATGCATGATGGGCGAAATGCTGGGCCCTTTAAATCAGTGACAGTTTTGCTATTGACTTAAGTGACAACAGGCTTTCATGTTATTCGTATACACTGAGTCAAATGCTACTTTTGTGTTCCAAAAGCCACATAACAAGAGGGAATGGAGACATTGCCCACTAGCATTCTGTAAGAAATCCTGCCATTGCAGATCAAGAGTGCACATAGTATGCTGAGACAGAGTGCCATGGGAAACATTTGGAGTACTCCCTTCAGCTGGCACAGTATGCTTGCTGACTGGTATTGGAGCTAGTTTGCCCATTCTGTTGATAGATGCACTTGCTGATTACAAAGTCTAAACATCTCTTGCCCTCCCAATCCATTACATGCTCATTGGCAGATCTGATGAGTTGCTCCATATGGATATACCCGGCTCCTACACAGAGCCTTAACAAATGCAATGGTACTCTTTACAGATTTGCAGGCATGGGATCCAAATTTCTATTGCATATCATTATTATATGCATTATACTAAATTCCTTTATAAAGTTAGCAATAGGATGTTATTTCTAAATATTGATATATATGTACAAAAGACACCTTACAATTTTCATATCCTTCACATCATAGAAGTGTTGTGTTTATGCCAGGAGTGTTTTCAAGGTGGCTTCATGTTAAAATGCAAGGTTTGTTTCAAAACTTTTGGGTTCAGTTTGTCATAAAATTAATAGCAGGTTTTTCAAGCTTAATTTTAATTGATTTGGGAGTCAGTGTATTTCTTTAACTGTATATTTGCTAGTTTGATAAATTTGGATTAAGTATTTAAACAAACGGAAGGGCAGCATAACATTTGTTTGCAGTATTGTTGTAGCCCGGTAGTGTTAGAATATTTGAAAGACAAGATAGGTGAGGTGATATTTATTGGACCAACTTCTTCAGGTGAAAGACAAGCTTTCAGGCTCACGTAACTCTTCTTCAGGTCTGAGAAAAGTGTAGTGTGTCACAGCTAAATACCAGATGAAACAAATAGCTAAACAGATGGAGTTTAATGCATTGTAAAATGCATTAAAGATGAAGTGAGCAGTTAACCGCTTTGCAGCCATGGGACAAAGAGGGCTACTGGGACATGGATTGTTGCAAAGAGCTATATAAACAGTATCTTTACTGAGTCCATAGTTTTTAATGTCTAGCACCCCAATGAATTTTTTCCAGCTTTTTAAGGCATTATGCAGGCTTCCTTTCATAATGAGAAGAGGTTAGATATGGAGTGATTGCTTTGTAAAAGGTATTTGGCCATGAGTGATGGGGTGTTTTTAGTCTTTATCATTGTTTTGTGTGAGTTCATTTAAGAATGTAGTAATTGTCTGGTTTAATCCACCATTGTTGAGGCATTTAGTGCAATGGATGAGGTACACCATATGTTGAATTAGGCATGTGTAGGTCTAAATGGTCTTGAAAGATATGTTATGGAAGATATCGATCATATGAAGTGGAGATATGCCATCTGGGTTGGCATCTGTTCTGGTTTTGATGCCACTATGAGTTGATATGTCCTTGTCTGTGGGCAGCTTGGTTATGATGATGACCTTGATGAGGTTGGGAAGTTGCTTGAAGGCCAGAAAAAGGGCTCAGGAAAGATTTCTTTCAGGCTATAATTATTGATTGCCCTACATGAGTTCCAAAGTGGAACTCCCATATCACCTGTGACAAAACATTTTTTTTTCACATAATAATAACTCCATATCTGACTACTCAGTCCTAGTGCTCAACAAAAACCAGCACAACATCTTCGGAAGCTTAAATTCAGAACCTTTGCTGGACACTAAAAAACATTCACTCAATTAAGATCCTGTATTGTTGGCTCTCTGCAACAATATGTCCTACCAATGCAGAAGTGCTAACTGCCCACTTTATCTTTAATGGTCTCTTGAAACACATTTACTTCTTATGTTTAACAGTCTATTCTTTCTTGTGCTTAGCTGTGACAATCTGAGTATCTTTCCCAGATCCAAAGAAGAGCTCTGTAAATGTGAAAGCTTGTTTTTTTATTCAGAAGAAATTGGTCTCATAAAAGCTATTCTCTCACTTACCTGTCTAACCCAAAATTTATCACTTTATGTCCATTCTTAAGTATATAACAGACAGAATTTTGCATCCAGCCAACAAATTCATATTGGATTTAGTATGGCCACTGAAAATTCTTTTTAGCATGTCATGAGGGCCCATGAGTGACAATGAATAGAGGTTTGAATGCTTCATAAGATTTTCTGCATTCTCAATTCAGGGAGCCAACAGTTTGCCTTGCTCAGAATTATCAATTATGTTTTTGCATTATTTTTTTAATCCGGGTCAGAACTGGATTAAGGAAGTCAAATGTTCATTGTATGCAGATATGTTTTCAATATACTTAGCTGAGAATCCTGGTTTTCAGCACTTTTATAAACATGATCAAACTACCTACAATTATGAATTTCTGGTATGACAGCATAGTGCCTGCTTGTGGTTTGATTGGATACTTTTCTAGGGATCAGTTGATAACCAAATTGATATATATGTGGGCAACTTGCATAAAGCAAGTGCTGTTTCTGTTGTAGTAAAGTCCTCTTTTCTTATATTGCATAGGTGCAACATGTATACAGATATGTACCTGTGTTTATCCCTGTTGACACATTGTGCCAATTAAAAAATATGAAAAGTATAAGAATAGTGGAGGGCATGTACCGACACTTTTGAGTGCCAAAGTCTGATTATAATGCAGTGGGTACTTAAGTATTTAATGAAACTCACACATGTTCCAATAAAAAAGCACACTATTATTTACAAGCATGCTTGATGTGGACATTTCAATAGCACCACTGCATAAAGTCAATCAGGAAGGCAGAAAATAGATGAGCCTACAAAAGCTATTTTACATATATCCATATTGGTGGCACCCAACTACAATGGGGTGCTTGCCAAACATAGAATGAGATACTTTCCCCAAATGTACATCCTTTATCCCACTAGGTTGAGGGTTTTTCCTAAAATGAGAGTCCAGAATTTATGTCCACCTCCTTTCTGCAGTTTGCCTAATAATAGAAGTCAAATTGTAATGCATTTTGTTAGACTAGAAATCTCTATGGATTTTATGTCCTCTAACATACTGTAAATTATGAGTGTACAGAGTGGGATTTTGTAAGATTTAAAAGGTATATATAGTACAAATCTATTAGATTAGCATGAAATGTGCATTACATTGTATACTATTAAACTACCTTGACTAAGCGCCCGATCTTGCAAACATATGAATAATTCTTTTTTGATGGAATAGCCCCTCTGTAGTCAGAGGAATTCATCACTACAATAAGAATTACTCATGTTTTTAGGATCAGACCCTATCATTGTATTGTTTGCTCAGATAGGAAAATAATTAATGTGCAACAAAAATGTAACTATAGTCTTTTAATGAAATTTTATATTGCAAATTATTTTGACTTCTGATTTTACTGAAAAATGTTATTTTAAAGGAACATGGTGGATTACTAATACAGGATATCTTTTAGACCCACTTTATACATTTTAAATAAGAATATTTTTTCTGTGTATTGTAAATGTTCTAAATATTTTCAGTATTAGTATTTCTGAACATTAGAAGAAACTTATTTCAAGCAAAACAAGCAGCGACATCAAAGAAATATTTTCTGTTAATTAGGCATTTCAAATAGTGGCATATATGTTATCTCACACTTTAGAAACTATTTTTAAAAGATGTGCTTTTTGTCAAGTCAATTTTATTTTCCCCTAAGCAATAATCTTGAATTCTGGATCCTTATGTTTTCCCTATTCTGAGATATTTTGACTGTATTCTTCTTGCAAATACCAGAGGTAATTCAGACTTATCCATCAGGATTTAAGGTTGGTCACACTCTTTAAATTTACCTTCTGCAGCACTGAGTGGTGGACAGGGCTGTCATTTTATCCACTGCAATGTTATCTGTTAAAGCAGATTTGGGGACAGTAGTAACCAAAATCTTTTGCTCTCTACTCTCACATTGTGAACCAAAATTTGTAGGGCTTTTCTGAGCTCATTTGCTCTATTTGTTTTCCATTTCCCTATCACCACAGAGGTCAAGAGGCAAAATGTGTGTGACAAGGTCTGAGGAGTCAGGGAGTGGTATTTCATGGAAATTGCAGCAAAACCACAACAACCAACTTAACCAGACTCTAAGGACTTGTATAAATAAGGTGGGCTAGATTCATGCCCCAGCTTGCTGTAAGCTAGACAAGCCCTAATTGATTTAAGTCTTAGACAGCATTGCCAATTCCCAATTCTCTGAGTTTCAAAACACACAGATGGAGAAGGGAGAGAGAGAAAGAGATCAGGATCTTTCAGATGGGACTTCTGAGAAAGGACCACAAGACATTCTTCTGATGTCTTTACAATGGCTGCTTTTGAATATAGTCATTACCAGTAAGAAGTTTGTTCCCATTACTGATAAACTATTTAATATTTCCTACAGCTCTGCAAGCGGCTACACAAGCACTTCAAGGGTATGTCTAGACTACATGGCTCTGTCGACAGAGCCATGTAAACTAGTTTACCCGGCATAGTCAATGAAGCGGGGATTTAAATAATCAGGGGATCAGTCGGCAAAGGCTTCCCCAGCCGACAGATCCGTGTCTAGACTGCCGCGCTGTGCCAGATCAGCTGATCGTTGGCACAGCACGGTGGCCATGTGTATTTTAATAAAGCGGGGATTATTTAAATCCCCACTTCTTTGACTATGCCGGGTAAACTAGTTTACATGGCTCCGTCAACGGATCCATGTAATCTAGACATACCCCAAGAGAGGTGGTAGGGATATGGAAAAGCCTGTAGATCTGAGCTGCCTCTTGTATTTGTAGGAAGAGAGAGATGTAGCTCTAATATTTCAGACTGCAGGAGAAACCAGTCCCAAGAGATAAAGATTCCATGATTATGTTAACAAACCAAAGAGAGGCATTAGATTCTATTTGCATATTGCTATGATAGATGTACTTTTCTTATAGTAAACTGTGTGTATATATATATAATTTTTTCTAGCAGGTAATTTTAAAGAGAGTTTCATATGTGACATATAGAAGGACGATGGATGTGATTAACATAGTTTTGTTGCTATTTTCCTTAAGGTGATGAACAACAGCAGAGTTAGGATAAAGAGAGAATGGAGTTGTATATAAAATTATTACCAGGGTAAACCATTGTTGTGCTGCTGGCTATAATCTATTTTTTATTGGAAACAAAGGTGAAGCAAAAATGTTTACTGTAAAAGTTAAAAGAATTTATTCTGTGGTGATATTCTGGTCCTATACTTGTGTTTTGTATTGTAACAGGCGATTAGCAATGTAAATGTCGCTTTTGTGTCTGAGGGATTTTGGTGCAGGATAATCAGAGTTGCTCACTGTACCTTTTTACTGGAAAAGGGAATTCTGATTGACTTAAATTATTCCATGCATCCTATCAGATGTTTGTTTGTTTAAAAAAAGACTATATTTTTATTACTGATTTGCTTGCCTAATAGTTGTAAGGGACATTTTAATACCAAAGGTAAACCATCCAGAATCTGATGTGGAATAAGGCATTGTAATTTTCCATTGAGAAGTGAAGTGGCCATCTCTTTCATCAAGAATAGTGCATCTGGTATCAACCAAACCTGTGGTACTGGTCTTAGCTCTTTATCTGGCATTCCAGTCAGTTTCTTAAGAACAGATAAATATGGAAATTAACATATTTTACCAGTCATGGGTAGAAAGAGTAGTCTCTTTGGTCATGGGTAATATGTATTAACAAAAAGAAGCATAAAGGCTTGAATTACTGATATCTGTGCTATACCTGGTCTGGGAACTAATAAAATACTTCACTGTGCTGTCAATCTCATAAACCTTCTAAAGCACAAAATAGTCACTAAGATACTTTTGGGGTTTCTAGCTGTATCTCTGTGAATTTTTGGAGGGGGGGAAAGGACAGAATTGGAGGATCAAGCAAAGATGTTGAAGTTTTACAGAACTTGTAGCTTTTTTTTTTAAGCAAATGGCATTGTTTTCAATAACATGAGACTATTAATTAGCAAAAAAATCAAGCTTATTTTATGTTCTGTGCAGTAAAAAATTTAAAAATGGATCAATCTCTTGCATTTCTTTTCCAGGATAGTCCTTACCTAGATTGGAAAAAAACAGTAATTATTTTAAAAGATGAATTTGCAGTAAGTCTTATTTCTTTTCTTTTTTTCTGGAGTGGAAACTTCTTGGGATAAAAATTAAGCAGTACATAATTTTGTAATTTTCCCCCAAATATAAACTCAAAACATTTTGCATTTTAAAAAAATCAGTGCAAAGCCTGATTTGTTAGATGTTCTAGTCTACTGAATAGTCTGTATAGAGTACTCTAAATGGCATTTTTTGGATGGGGGGCCTAAGTGTCCTTATATAAGCTGTGATCCAAGTATTGATTTAAAAAAAAAGGAGCTTATGGTAGGCAGTAAAAATGTTCTTGCATCTGGTCAGTGGCTATCACTTTTTCATACAATAGCCCTCACAATACTTAGGCTATGTCTAGACTGCATCCCTCTGTCGACAGAGGGATGCAAATCAAGCACATCGAAATTGCTAATGAAGCCGGGATTTACATATCCTGCACTTCATTAGCATAAACATGGCTGCCACTTTTTAAACAGTTTTTTCGAAAAAATTGCAGTCTAGATGTGGATCTGTCGAAAACAAACCCTTTTTCGACAGATCCTGTCTTCCTTAAAAAATGAGGTTTACGGGATCTGTCAAAAAATGGTTTATTTTCGACAGATCCGTGTCTAGACTGCATTTTTTTTCTGCAGTTTCAATTTTGAAAGAGCGCTTTTTTGAAAGAGAGCCATTACGTGATTATGCAAATGAAGCGCAGGATATTTAAATATCAGCTTCATTAGCAATTTAAATGTGCCTAATCTACATCTCTCAGTCGACAGAGAGGTGTAGTCTAGACACAGCCTTAGAGATTATAGAAGATACTATAATGTTATGTTGCTAATTTTCTTTTAAAATAAAAAATATGTTAAGCTTTTTGTCAAAAGTGGTAACACCTTATTACAAATAAACCTTTTTGTGGTTGTAAAATTTAGCCTATAAATCATTCAAATTGAAGTGAAAAGAAAATACCAGGTCATTGTTAATGACTTAGTCTATCCTACTATTATGAATATATGTATTTTTGTAAAGGAAAAGCACTTGTAGATATTTAATCAGTCCAATATCTGTGTTTATGTTTTGAAAAAACAAAATGCTGCTTAGAGAATCACTTAAATATTTTTATTTTTGTGTTTAAATGCATTCTCGGTTGATTTATAGAATGTTTCTTCTGTACAAAGCTATATAGTTGTTATCGCTGGGCTAAATGCATTTATACCTAAACTTAGCCAAATATATCTGACCATTCTACAAAAAAAAAGTCTACATTATCAACAGTTTGATTGCATAACAATAGTACGGTGCTCTTTTTTCATTTTTGACATTAGTTTCTTCTACCTTTATAACATTCCTACTTGACTGTATTTGTTGTGATACAGCAAATTTAATTGTGAGGGTCACATTCCAATGGATCTTATAAGGTATACAGTATTTTTACATAGTCCATTTACAGTTTATGCAATCTATAAAATTGTCTAAAATTTCAACCGATTTGCTAGATATCTGTATTTAATAGTAAATTCCCCACAGAATGAAAATGACATACCAGCTACGTGATATATTATATTTTCATAGTGCAGTAGGACATATTTGATATTCAGTATTTTTTAATTTTGGAAAACTGCAGCTGGAACATATACATGTTACAACTGCAACTTTTCAGTTGTTAGTACATAGTCATTTGTACCAACTGTTCTTTTAGGCTACTTTTTTGAAAATACAAAAAGACCCCATGAAAATAACATTAGGGTTTAATCTTACAGAACCATGGAAATTGAAATGGAAATGATGGCTGAAATTCCATTCTTAACCTATTTTTCTGCCTGCTTGTACCATGTTATGTTTGACTAGCTAAAAGAACCCAGCAATACATACACCATTGCAAATTAATTCTACCAGATAACTGTTGAAATCAAACTGTTGACCAAATTGTCATCTCAATTTCACACATATAAACCCATAGACATCACACAATGGGACTCTGCATGGGTCCACACTAACTAATCCTGAGGCTAGGTCACAGCTCTGGATATAATGGTGTCTCTTGACTTTTATATTTTTGTAAATGATATCTGACTATGGCCAAGAGTTCCCACCTGAACTTTTAATTTTCTTACGTTTGTGGGGTCTGTCATATATCTGGCATCAGTAACATGTAATCATTTATGTAAGTCTTCTATGAGCTTGTGAAGATTAGTAATTATAAGCCCAGCAGTCCACAGTAAATTACAGTGTTGCAGTCTAAATTTTTGTAAATATTTACATAATTAAGGAGGTAGACTACAAATACTTGCAAAACTATTTCCATATACAGTTATGCTTTTTTAAGTTCTTAAAATGGTCAGCATTTTTAAAAACATCTTACAATTTAAGTATTTTAAAATTGTTGTAAAATAGTTGTTAATGGTATTTCCATAGTAAATCAATGAGAGCTCAACATCTCAGGGTCAACAACGTAGCATTTTAGATTGTCAAACCAGTGTGAATTATAAACGTAATATATATGCAAAATATATATTGCAAACCTGTTGCAGACCTATATATTTTTTAAACAACCAAATGAGTATTTTTGTTAAAAGTGTGTAAAACAAATACTGCAATTTCCCCCACCGCTACCAAAGGTCACTCAGAAATATTCTTTTCACCTGAGTTATAAGCCTTTTTAAAAGAGGGTTGTCCTGGAAAAGGATGATAAACACATAACTGCATTAGAACCAGTGAACTCTTCTATAATTATGTACTGAGTTGGTACTAGACTTCATTTTGGTATAATCTGCTCTGTGTTGTATTTTGATGCAGAGTGAAGTGAGTTTGTTTGGAGTTATATCTGCATTTGTAAAGAGGGTAAATTTTAGTACAGTAAATCATGCAAACTCTGTAAATGGACACTTTAAGAAATTTTGTACTAAATATATTTGATATGTAACTGTTTCTTACTGTGTGACTGTATGTTTGCTTCAGTAACTATGTTAAATTGAGTGTTTCATGTTAATGTCAAGAATGTCCATGGCAACTTCATTACTGCTATAGTAAATTACAATTGTATATGGTCCATATGTGGCAAGATGCCTCTAGCCCAGTTGAATTAATCCTATGAAAAATCTAGAGCAAGAAGTATAACTAATCTGCTTACTAGCACTGAATTGCTCCTTTCTGAAAGCAATAAATATATTCACGTTGTAACATCTGTTGTGCAGCCTACATATACAAGTTGTTTTGTTGCATTTTGTTTTCTATATAATTTATTTTGTGCAATAAAAAGTTTCTCTGGTTTAACTCACTTTTTCCTAGATTGTATAAATATTTGAATTCAAATCTAATCATGCAGGCTTTTTAGACCAATTAAATAGCAGGTGCCTTGCTTCAAGGAATCTCTTGTAGCAATACCTGATTTAACTCTCAAGTTGAGTAATGCCTTCTAAAGGAGTAGAGTGTCCTGG